ACCCCTGACATTCTGTGATTCTGTGTTTGCACGTCCCGAGTGCATTGGCAGTGCCGGAAGCTTAATTCCGTGTGGTCTGGGCACTGTGATCCAGCTGGGATTCAGGCCGTCAGCCTCTGAGAGCAGTGAAAAGGCTTTGACGTGAAAAGAAGAACGTAAGAGAGCTTTCTGAGAGGTTGGCAGGGGCAAGTAGTAAAGGAGAGGTAGCAAAAATCGCAGTTAACAGCCAGCAAGCAGCTTTGCCTTGGGCTTGGGGGGAGGCATTGCCTCACGCCATGGTCCCAAGCGGGGCAGGAGCCGGGTGGGCTCCTCCGTGTCAGATAACCCAGAGGTGCAGTGAAAAGGATCCCAGGAAAGATCTTTGATGTGGTCCAGGAAATTGGAGGCTTGTTTCTTTCTTCTGTCTAGGAAACCAGATCCTTTAGAGCCTGGAAGAGAGTGGCTTTGTGCTTGGGCAGAGCTGCGTGACCCCATTTACTCTTGCGTGGAGGAATTTGCTTTCTGCCACGGGGATCTCAGGGAATTGCAGAAGACGGCGACTCCACCCTACTCTGAATATTTGATGGCCCATGTTATGTGAAGTCGGAGCTGCTGGCAGAAGCAACAGAAACAAGAAGCTTCCATTTTAAAGAGCTATGAATTTTTAAAGGATCTTTGATTTATTAACAAAAAAAAAAAAAGGCCATGCAGAGCTCTTTTAAAATATTTTTAATGTTTTACATCAGCAGCAAACTGCCCCAGAAAAAAAAACAGAACTGGCCTAACGCAACCAGAATTGACCTAATGCAATTTTTTTCTTTGTGGTATTTTTTATGGTTTGGGATTTTTTAAGTCATTGGGCTTCTGTTCACTGTCTGCCTTCATTCTGCTCACGCTTCCGTAGCTGAATCTTGTAGTTGTTATTCTGCAGTCACCTAAGATCTCATCCTTCTGTAGCAATTTTTGTTGTGAGAAATATTCTGGTTAGACGTGTGCTTGTATACACCTCTTGACTGAATCTTAGTTCCACCTGGACCTTTTATTTTAAGGGACGTCCGGCTTTGTGTTAGAGTAGTGTAAAAACCAATATAGGCAGAGAGGACTCCTAAAAACACCAAAAACAACCCTTAAGGTTTGATTGGACAGGCTGAAATAGTTGCAGAAGAACCACAGAGTACCAGCTTGCTGAAAAACCTTTCTCCTAGAGCAGGAACCTTCCTGTGGCAAGAAATGTCTGGTTTTTTTCAGGATTCTCTATATGACTTAGATCATAAATCCTATTAACATTTAATTGGCTCATGCTCTTTATTTGCTTTGGTGCCCAAAAGGGGAAAGAAAAGTAAAAAAAAAAAATCAACCTTTCTTAGTGCCTTTTAGCTGAGGCAGAAGGAATGTTGGGGACTGGAGCTGCCTGCACTTCTGCCCTTCTCAGCATGGGCATCTGCACGCTTGCCCGCACGAGGGAAAGTAGGAGTAAAGGTTCTCTCTGCCCCACCTGTTCACTAGTCCCCAGTAGCTCTGTTTAACCTTCCTAGGAATATTAAGTCCACAGGGGTTGTTGCTTCAGCCTTGGAGCCAGCCCTGGGAGACCTGAGCCAGCTCCTTCAGAGCCCAGAAGTGTCTCCCTTCTTGTCTCGGACTTCCCTCCCAGGACGCCTCATTAGGACCGTTGTTGTTTGGTGCAAACGCGTGGCAGCACAGTAAATAGGTGTTTAGGTGTCCTGGAATCAGGAGCACTGGAGGACACCTGTGCAGAGGTGTTGTGTAAGGACTGTTGAGGTTCATTACTTCAATCGTTACCTGCCAGCAGCTGTGTGCTCTGTGTTAGTCTGCAAACCAGAAATGTGGCCACAAATGATCAAGAATTGAGTATAGTTCTGGGCCAACATATCCCACCTCTTTTTTTTCCCCTCTCTTCCTGCCCCAAACCACATGTTCTTTAACCCTCTCACCTCCACTGTTCTCTCACCTGTGCCTTCCTCAGCCCTTACCTCTTCACCCTCTCTCCTCTGGCTTCCTCAGCTCGCTAAATCCCAAATGGCCGGGCAGCATGGAGCAACCTGAGTGATTTGCTTGCCTTTCCAGAGGGGAGAGGGTGGAGGGAGAAGTGTAGAAGGCAGGGTGATGGGCATATTACGGGTGACCATCAGCAGGGGATGTGCTGGCCCTTGCTGCCTGGGGAGGAGGTGAGCTCCAGCTTGGCTGGCTCAGCTGGAGGCTGTGGTGACAAGGAGATAGCTGCAATGACCATGGCAGTGTCCTTGCTTGCTAGGAGTTGGTGATTTGGAAGAAGGTTGCAAAGCCAAACATGGGCCAGATCTTCAGTTATGCTGAAAACCTGTCAAGAAAGCCAGTAGAAGCTATGTTGGCAGCAACTGCTTCATCTTGACCAGATTAAAGGGTCTCTAACGAGAATCATAAATTATTTCTTTTAAATATGTAATAGGTGTTCTGTGGCATTCAAATCAGTCCTCTAACTCTGTAAGTATTAGCTCAGTCACTTGGATTTACAGCCAAGCCAGTGGCCAGGATCCATCTGCGGCTGATGGAAATGGCCCTAAAGCAGCCCTGAAAGATGAGATGGAGATCAGAGGGGTAAATCTCCACCCCGTGTGCCCTGTCCTCCACTTCTATTAAATCATGGGCAAAGGCAGCTTGTGTTCAGTGTATAAGTCCTTGGGATACAACCCACAAAAATTCCTTCTGTCACCCTGCTTATTGCATTTCAGGACAACTGCAGGGACTGGCAATTGGAGAGAGAGACCAGAGATGAGACGGGAACAGGGGTTTCTAGGTTGCAGGTTCTGGCCTAATGTTAGAATCGAGCAGTACGGTATCAGTACCGAGTTATTAGTCTTTCTGAAGTGGCTAGATTGCAAAAAGACACTTTCTGGGACTGATCAAGGTCAGCCAGCCACGAAATTGGGTGGTTTCCTCCGCTTTTGGTTCTTAACCCTTGGGATAATGCTGCAAGCAGGGTGAGGGGAGCTTTGCAGCCCACTGCCTGCTCATCTCCGGGGGGGTTCTCTGGGGTTACTGGTGTTTCTATTGCTTTCCTGTTGGAGAAAAAAACGTTTAGCTGAAGAGCGTAGGGTAGGTATAACAGCATCTGTTCAACATGTTACTCATTCACACCTGTGTTACTTCAATACAGCCTCAGACCCAAACCTGTAGTCATGTATGAAACTCTGTTAAAGATTTCCATCCCATTTTTCACTTCATATGAAATGAAAGGGAATGTCATTTTTTTGCTGTTGGGTTGGAGGAAGATGTAACTGTGTCTTTTTTGTTTATTTTGAAAGTGCACGTGGAAAGGAACTCTGTCCTTCCCCTAAAAAAACCCTCTTAATGGTAACAATAGGAATGGTCTCAAGTCTTGCACTCAGTTTTAACAAAAACTAAAACCAAAATGTGACTTACAGCACCTGCATGCATAAGTGAGAAGTTGCCCTAGCACTGTTCCAGACATGTAATATGCCGTCATATTACATGTTCCCGCATGGGTTTGGTAGCATGTCTTCCAAGAGAGAGATGAGAGTAAGGACGTGGAGCAGCTCCGGTCCCCAGGAGAGCTCTGTCCCTCACCACGAAGGCTCCAGCTCCATCTGGTCATTGGCTGCTTGTCTAGATACAACGTCCCTGCCAGAGAAGCGTGAGAACCACGTGGAGAAACATCCTCCTGTCTCACCCAGGTGCCTGGGAGGGAGGAGAGCCAAGTGTGACTTTCTTGCTTCTCCTGCCTGGGGCTGGGATGAATGTACTGAGGTCCTCTCCTGGTGACTGCTGGTGAGGTGTGCTGCCACCCGGGCTTTGAGCGTTGCCTGGATGGGGAGCTGGGGCAGGAAAGTCACCAGGTCCTGGGCTGAGCTCGGTGAGTAGTTGGGAAGCGAGCGAAGGCTGGAGAGCTGCAAGGACCCTCTCCTGCCCACAGCCTTCCTCCTGGGGCCGTGGCTGACATGTCTCAAGGGAGCGTCCATCTGTGGTGTTCACGGGTGCTCTCTGCATCCGTGGTGAGGACGGTACCCAAAACCTTCGAGAGAAAACCCCCCAGACAATGCCACAACCAAACCCACCGGTAGGTTATTCTAATTACTGACCCGAGGACCAAACTACTCCCTCTCTTGTTCTTGTGCCTTCTATCCCTTGCAGAGGAACCAAAGGCAAGGACATCAACACGATCAAGTCTCTGCGAGTTCTGCGGGTCCTAAGACCGCTGAAGACCATTAAACGGCTGCCAAAACTAAAGGTTAGAGAGTAACCACAAATCTTGCCTTCTCTGGGTGTTTGCAACCGATCTGAGTGGAAGCTGATGGACTAAACTTAGTCCAAGTTATTTCCGTTCCTTTTATTTTGTCGTAATTAGTCTCTTTGCCAGATTTATAAAAATAGCCGTGCAGATGTCTAGCAAACGTCAAAATGCTTGTCAAACATTGGTGCAGTATTATGAATTGTTGGGACCCATGTTGAAATCACACTCGTTAAAAAAAAAAAAGAAAAATATGCAAATAAATTAATTTACAGTTTGTAAGTGTGATGCTCTTAGAAATGTTATAGTAGAAAATAGATTTTGGCGTGTTTGACTTTTCCTAGAGGGCTTAACATGAATATTACTAGATTTTCCATAGTCTATTTAAAGAGAAATGTCATTGCTGCACGAGGACCTTTAATCTGTTCATCTTTTCAGCATTTTATAGCCGCACCCTTTCATCTCTAGAACACTAAACTGCAAAGTAAAATAAACATAACAGCCTGTAGTTACATATTCAACAACATTTCAAGAAGGCTTTGAGATAACAGCCAACTCCTGGAAGCAAAGAATGGAAGGAGTTACAAAATGTTATAATTTGTGAGTTTTGGGAACTCTTTTATAGAAACATCTTCACGTGGCATCACGCCTCACAGCCTCTTTTCCGTGAGAGGTGGGGTAACAGCGACAGGTGCTTTAGCAATGGTAAAACTGTCGTGACAATTCTTGTTTTCACAGTACGACACGTAAAAACCAGGGTCAGCTGCTACATGGATTTGCTTTTGTCGTTACTCCCAATTCACGCTGAAATAATTTTGTTTTTCTGCGTACTAAATTTACCTCAAAAGATGAGGGAGAGTCATGCCGAACAGTGTAGAAAATGGTCTTTCTTTGTTTAGAAATTTGAAGTGTTCAGCTCTTAGATCATCAGTCCCACAGCAGGACACCAAACATTTGCTTTTTATCAAGCATCTTCCTTATTTTCAAGCCGTTTTACAGAGTAATTTTAGCGCTTCTAAAGAAGTATTCAGAAAATTTTATGTGAAGCAGAAGTCATATATTTTGTCTTCAAAATTTGATTTATTTTTTTTTTCCTGGATATGTTCTTGTAGGCAACAATCAGCAAGATGAATGGGGCGATTAGAGATATTTCCAGTGTTTTAATTCAAGATTTCTGGGTTACATCAGGAATGTAATTTTGTGAATTATTCACTTTCATTCAGAGAGGCAGGAACAGTGTTATACAAACCCCACGCTTGGGCAGTAAGACCACTCCGTTTCTATTATTATTATTATGACAAACTTCTCAGACTAAAATTAAACTGCAAATTACTCCTAACAATGAATCAGTGACTAATAAATAATAAATGTGTTTGAGGAGGGAGTTTGGAAATGACATACGCTGACTAGATTAGTCACACTTAATTTTGATAGACAGCTCCTTCGAAAAATATTATTTGAAACATTTGCTGGTTTTGTGTCTGGTAGACTTTTCTTATTATTCGAACAGTTCAAATCATGGTCAACAAGTAACGTGAGTTTTTACCTATTCCCTGGGAATAAACTCAACACAGGTATGTTTTGCATTTCATTATCACGGAAATACTTGCTTAGGACTAATATTTATGGGCACAGCCAAGCTCCCCAAGAAAGCAGGAGAGGTAGGAAGGCGACGTGATTTCTCACAGCTGGAGCACGACCCTTGGCCAACCCTTGGTCTGCAAGTCCGTGAAACCACCCGGGGTGTCGTAGGTTGGATAATTCCTCCCAAGTGCAGTTAGATGCTGGATGCCAAGGTGTTGGATGCACTTTTCTTTCCTTTCCACCCCTTACCCTCGTTCTCCTCCGTGCCCAGGCTGTCTTTGACTGCGTGGTGAACTCCCTGAAGAACGTCCTCAACATCCTCATAGTCTACATGCTCTTCATGTTCATTTTTGCCGTCATTGCTGTGCAGCTCTTCAAAGGCAGGTTCTTCTACTGCACCGATGAGTCGAAGGAGCTGCAGAAGGACTGCAGGTACACCTGGGGCGGGGGGGACACCCTGACTTCCCCCTGGCGGCAGCAGCTGCTCTCTTGACTGTCCCAAATCTGCACCAGCTGATTCTTTGCTGAGCTTGGTGAGTCTCCTGTGAGAGCAGCACTTGAGAAACCTAGGAGTGATTTTTTTTTTCCTTTTTGGTGTTTAAATAGTTGTGTGGCTCTGGTCTAACAAGTGCTTACCAAAATGCTTAACGCTGCAGGATCACAGGCTCTTTTTCCCAGGGAGGGCTGGATGTGATTTTAAGGTAAAGGGTTTCTGGAGGGATGGCGTGACTCCTCTTTCTACCTGCTGCCTTGATTCTCAGGGCTCCTATGAATTAGAATAACATAATGAATAAATAATCAGAAGCGAGTCAGTAGGAAGTTAAAGAGCTCCTAATTAGCTAGAAGAGGGGTCTATATCTGAATATCTTAAAAGCCCCATCGTGCTTTGCCCTTTGCAGCAGACTGTTGAGGTGCTTTACTCACCACAATGTGGGTCTTCCTCTCTTGTCTTTTCTTTTTTTCTTGGCTCCCAAACCACATCCTTGGTGTTGTCCGGGTTTCCCCCATCACCTCTCTCCTGCTGCCTTCTAGGGCACGTTCCTGGTGGGACCATGTGCCCACAGCAGCTGCAGAGGCTGTTCCTGCAGCTCTTCCTTTTAATGAAGCAGACACGTTACAGAAATAAATGTGAAATTATAGAAAAATGTAGGTCGGTGGGCTATTCTTGAGATGCCAGGTCCTTTGCCCCCCCCCAGTTTGAAGTCGGATCCCGCTCTGAAGTAGAAGCCAGAGATACTTCCCCATCAAGCAGCACAGTTTGCTGTGGGATCAGACAAGTTGAGGGCCCTCATGCTGTTAATTGCTGGCTTTGCCTAATGAACAAATGTCCCAATTACAATTTCGATCATTTCTAGACCCCAGGTCCAGTCCCTGTGGTATGAAACAGCTCAGAAAATGCCCTTTAATCCTGTTACAAATCTCAGAGTTGTCTCCAATTCTGCTACTGGGGCTTTTCGAAGCTCCTCAGTGAGTCATATGAAATTGCTGATTTGGTTTAATTCTCTCATTTGGTCTGAATCTGTTTGTGTGGGTTTTGGTTTTTTTTTGTCCTAGGGGTCAGTACCTCGATTATGAAAAAGATGAGGTGGAAGCACAGCCCAGGGAATGGAAAAAATATGAGTTCCACTACGACAACGTGCTCTGGGCTCTGCTCACGCTCTTCACCGTCTCCACGGGCGAAGGGTGGCCAACGTGAGTACACGGGACCGGCAGGGGCAGGGACCACCGAGGTAATAGCACCTTCCCACAGCTCTGAGAAACAAGTAAATGGCAGGAGACCTGTGAAATAAGAATGGTCTTTTGTTCAGCTGCGCTTCCGTGTTCACTTGTGCAATTATTGGGTGAATCAGCAAGCAGGGGCTCTGTGTTTTTCTCGATGTGCTTCTGAGGGATGCTCAGGCAGATTTCAGTACTTCATAGCTTGCCTGCTCCAGGTTTTTGGACCCGCACGCCTTTCTCAGGGTACAAATGGTAATGGGGATGTAAGGAAATGAGGGGGAAAAGCGTTGTGACTGCAAGTATGCTGCGTGTGACAGTTCCAAAACGATATACAGCACGTGACTTTATTTTGGCACACTTTTCTGCTGGGACACGTGGAGTCCAATCCACCCTCAGGGTTTCTCTGTGGTGGGCCTTCTCTGTCCTCCACGTTCAGCTATTTCATGAAATAAAGAAATAAGCTTACAGCATCAGTCTCCCTTCTCCAGTCCCTCACTGTGTTCCCCTACACGGAGATCATCCACACCTTTCTTTTCCCCACCCTTCCTTCACCCCTGTTGACCAGAGAAGAGAAGCCAGATCTAACTGTATCCTCCCCCCTCGGCCAGGGGGATAAGTGGATCTGTACGTAGAAAATCTCCGCCATTCTGCAGAATGGTGCAAACAGCAAAGGTTTCCCTAAAAAATATCCTCAAGGAAAACTTCGTCCCTGCCGCAGAGATGGGAACGAGTTTGACCTGAGCATATGTGGCAAACCTTCCACCTGGGTGAAGGCCAGTGAGCGACTGTCAGGGGGTCGTTGGGGCTTCACGCTGGTTTCATTGACTTTTCTTCTCTCTTTGCGCTTGCTTGCAGTGTGCTGAAGCACTCGGTGGATGCTACCTACGAGGAACAGGGTCCCAGCCCTGGCTACCGAATGGAAATGTCTATCTTTTACGTGGTGTATTTTGTTGTTTTCCCTTTTTTCTTTGTGAACATCTTTGTGGCGTTAATCATCATCACCTTCCAAGAGCAAGGAGATAAAGTGATGTCAGAGTGCAGCCTCGAGAAAAACGAGGTACCCGTGTCTTCCGAATCCAGAGTTAGAACCTGGGGGCTCAGAGCATGGAAGCCCACTCCTCATCCCTCCCGGGCTGTGGGGGGCTTCAGAGCAGTGATTACCCGAGGGTGTGTGGTGGAGAGACCAAAAGAATTACAGCTTCTGCGTAAAAACAAAACCGGGGAGAGGCCCCAAATGCTGCATGTTAGAAAGCACTGTTGCACATCCCCGTGGAGCACACCTCTGCCTCGAAGTGAAGAGGTTAGCTCAGGTGTGGAGGTGTGAAAGGAGACCGAAATCTCTGGCCTTTTAGAGGCTGGTCATCAGAAATCCAAGTGAACTCCGATTGCTACAGCCCCCCAAACGGACGCTCCTCTCGCCAGGCTGGTTTTGTGCCTGGCTGAGATGATGTCCTGATAGAATCTCAAAGTAGATGCCTTGGGAGGAGTATAAGACCAGGGCAGACACGTATGAGGCTTTTCTTTAATATCATAGGAAATTCCATTGTTTTCAGCTCAGGAACCTCCTGAGTTGGATGTGGATTTTCTTTAGTTAGTGGCATCCATGTATCTTTCTTCCATGAATGTATCCAGTTTGCTCCTGAACCCTCATGCGGATTTTTAGCATCTGCAACATCCTTTGTCTGAGGTCCCACAGCCTCAATGACCTATTGTTCAAAGAACCATCTCTTTTCATTTTATTTTGAAACTGGAACCTGACTTTTGATGAAAAGAGATGGCTTTTTAATCAGTTATTAATTAGAGCATTGTTTGTCTACATGAACAAAATGTCCAAAATAAAGCAGAACATCTAGAGGTGCTTTACCCACATTATTTTTTGACTGAGCAGAAAATATTTTTGCGCTAATCTGCGACTTTGAATTCTTATCTAAATCCAAGATGAGAAAATGCTCCAGAATCAAAACATCTTACAGGTAGAAACCAATTTTTAATACAGTTTAATACTCATAATACCATGAACAGGAGTAGCTGGCTAAAGGGGATGTTTGAAATTTCACCCAGTAATATTCATTGGATAATTTATCTGTTGAATTCAGTTCACATTTTGTGAAAAGTTATTCGCTGGGCAAGTTTTGCTGTGTGTGAGAACATACCTGGGTTTCACAATACTTCTTTTTTAAACAGAGATAACACCTTTAGCAATCCTCCTGTTTCGGGAGGAAGTGCCAGAGCGGTTTCTGAAGTGAGCCTGTGGATTTATAATTCCCTTCCCTAAGTGGGAAAGGATTGGGACCTTCCGGGAGCTGGGCTGGAAGGCTGGCTGTAGGATAGCTGGGGGCCACAGGAGTGGTGTGGGCTTTAATATTTCAGTGAGTGGCCAAAAGCAATTACAACTTGGGGGATTCTGTGCTGTATTTTACAGGGGTGGGCAGTACTTGCTTCATATCAGAAACATTTAGAAATACCATCCTCCACTAAATGCTCTGCTCGCTCTCCCGACAATACTCTGGGTCTTAGACTCTGCCAGCCTTTGGGTTTTTTTGTATTCTTTTCATCCCCTTTTTGTTTTGTAGAGGGCTTGCATAGACTTCGCCATAAGTGCCAAGCCACTGACCCGCTACATGCCTCAGAACAAGCAAACCTTTCAGTACAAGATGTGGAAATTTGTGGTGTCCCCTCCTTTTGAGTATTTTATCATGGTCATGATTGCACTCAATACCATTGTCCTAATGATGAAGGTTAGTGGCTGTTACTGAATCTTTGCAGTTTGGGGCTGGCAAATGTGGTGTTTGCTGGAGAGGCTTTGTACGCTTGACCCAAGAGCTGGGCGGGGGGATCGGCAGGAGCAATTGCCACTTCTCATCTGCCTCGAGTCATTTTTCAAGGCTTTGTGAGATTCCTACGGTCCCCAAAGGGAGGTGGTTTAGCCCTGGTGAGCTACTGTGGGTGGGATTGCTGGTTGGGCTCATGGGCCCTTCGGCATATGGCCAGTGGGATGGGAACTGGGCTCTGCTGGTTGGAGCTCCTGGCTCCACCTGGGTGTCCTCCTGCAGAGCAGGGTGACTTCTTGGGGATGCTCAGCATCCAGCCATCCCAGGGAAGTTACTCCCATTTGCAGTGGTGTCGAGCTTCTGGGACGTGCCACTGTGCCCAAGAGGAAGAGATGAAGGTTTCCAGATACTGGGGGTGGTCTCCCCTATACCCTGCCTAGCTTAGAGTCAAGGGGTCACTGTATTCTTAGGGTCTGCTGGAATGAACCGTGGTTCTGCAGTTGTCCTCTGGTTTTGAAAATGCCCTTCATCCCTCCTGGTCCATGCTGTGCTTACAGAGAGATGTAGATCAGCAACAGACTCCCCATCCTGAGTGTGTCCCCAACTACCCCACTAAGACAGCACCTGGGCAATGGTGTGCTTCTGGAGTGGCATGAATAACCACAATTGCTTGAAGTGAATGCAAAATCTGGCACTAAAGATGGGCAAGAGTCTTGCAGTCAGGCACATCAGCTGGGAAGGTTTTATTCTGTAAGTGATCTTTCAGTAACAGCCTTTCTTCCATCCTGGTTTAGTTCTATGATGCTCCAGAAGCATATGAAGAAATGTTGAAATGCCTGAATATTGTGTTTACATCCATGTTTTCAATGGAATGTGTGCTGAAGATCATTGCCTTTGGTGTGCTGGTATGTGCCTTCCTCGTTTACTTTCAACTGTTTCCTCCCTACAAGAAATTCTTGTGTTCTGTGACGTGCGTTTGAAAACAAACAAGAAAAGCCTGTGTTGCAACAAAAAAAAAATAACCCCTGGATCCCTCTATCTCCCTTGTGTTTTCATTTGGCAGAATTATTTCCGAGATGCCTGGAATGTCTTTGATTTTGTAACAGTGTTGGGAAGTATTACTGATATTTTAGTAACAGAGATTGCGGTAAGTACAGTTTGCTCCGTTTGCTTCATTTACCAACCAAGCTGTACCCTGTCAAGATATTGCACCTTCTCCCCACCAGCAGTATTCCCTAGAGCTGCCTCTGGGACTCATCCTGTGATGATGTCCTTGGGTGACCTGGCAGCCCGGTTCCATTAGCCCTACTCTTTCAGTGGAGATGAGCACGTCTGTCTGCCCCAAAACTTTCATGCAAAAAAAGCTGTGATGAGAACGACAGTGATAGTGACTCTATCAGAAACCATCTGTCTTGCTCCTTCAGAGAACCCTCTCTGACCCTGAGACAATTTTGCCTAATAATGGAGAAATCCTGTTGAATTTAAGAAAGGGAAAATATCAAAAGAGTTGTGTTGAAGACTGCTGTTTTGTAGTGTGAGGTGCTTTGCAGGGCAACCCCTGCCTCCGTGCCTTGGAGTTCCCACCCAGTCTTGGTCACGGGGCAGAGCGAGGGGATGAGTGTGTAGAAACAGCCAAAAACCCATCAGCCTGCACAGCCTGAGTTGGGGCAATGTGGTGCATTTCTGTTATGTGTAAAACCAAACTTTGTGGGGCAATTATTCAAACAGTTTTACCATGGATTTGTTGGCCAGCCCTACAATGACTGCTGTCTCCCTGCTAACGAGTCCTGTAGATAACATGAAGTGTGCAAACCTGCCATTAAATTCTAGAGGATTTTTCCATAAGGGCAGCAAATGTCTAACTTGAGCCTTGACAGCCTAACATTATCCAATTTATAAATTGCTCCTCTCCTCTCCCACTGCATGTTTTAGCTGATGATGCTCTATCTGTATATGATGAATTTGAACTTTACCAGAATTTTTCTTCTCAGTCTCTGGGATTTACTTATAAACCTGTTTTTTGTGTGCTAAGACCTATGTTCCCCAGACTTCTTTACAGGACATTCAACTGGTGGTGAAGACCATATTACCCTTTCTAACAATAATTCATTGTTACCCAACCTCCTCGGTACAAAAAACCCATCCCAAAGTTTTACCCTCCCCCTGCACAAATAGTGCTTACTTAACAGTTGGTGAATCCTATCTTGTAGTCTTTGGGCTACCTTTGATTTTGACGCATGGCTTCCAGGCAGAGTGAGGTTATTCAGATGAAACACAAGGTCTGAGTCCTCTGAGAGCTTAGAAGGTTTATTTTGCTCTGGGCAGGCACTGGGTATTTGCCTCTGCTCCCTCTGTTGCGGGACGTGCTTTCTTGCCAGACTCAGGCACCCAACTTTTTGCCTTGGTTTGAAAAGTTGTGAAACTGTCAGCCGACAGACTGACCCTTCCCTTCCACTCCCCCTTCAGCCCCTTTTGTGGGGAGGAAGCAGCACAGCCAACGTGCACGTGGTCTCTCCGAGATTGGCGTCTCCTCCTTCAGAAAGGCATCTCCTTCGCGACACCAAGCCCACTCGCTTCTCATTTAAATCCTCCTTCCTACTTTTTCTGGCTGAAAGCCATTAGCAGCGTTTCCTGGTCCCTGCTTGCCTCTGCTTCCAGCATCCATGGGGGTAGCCCAAGCTTATCAGCCCTGCCTGGCACCTCGGGAACTGGCTCTGGGCTGCCAGGTTGGGCTGTGATATGTTCACAGCACATCTGGGGCTGTGTGGGCAGGTCCCCAGCTCTTTGGAAGCAGCAGCTCTCTTGTGGCCCTGTGGGCCAGCTACTCAGGGTAGGAGAGCCAGTGTGTAGGTGGAGTTTCTGTACCCCTCTCCCGGTCTTTGGGCTGGAGACTAAGTGTGCTCCTGAGCACCCTCATGTGAGTTGTCAGTCACGGATGCAATCACCTCGAGGGTGCTGGGAGTAGCAGCATCACCCTTCCATTCAGCAATATCTCCACTTTCCAGCATCAAGGGTTGCAGCAGCTTGGGGATGCCTTTGAAGAGTAGTGTGAATTACCTCTAAAACCTGTCAGTAGACTCCAGTGGGGTTAAGCTCCCAGCACCTATACACCTCTCCATTATCCTCCCAGGTGGTAATGGAAAGGATTCAGGTTTATTTAAGTCAGACCTCAGGGAGGGCTTTCTAATGTGGTTCAACAGCTTCCCCTGGCAGTGTGTCCAATACAAAGCTCCTCACAAATGTGTCTTTAATATAAAAACCATATGTTGCCCAGCACCTCTCCAGCCCCTGACCTCTTGGTCCTCTGTCTCAGTCCATCAACCTATTTAAGCTCTGCTCTCTTTAAGTCTTCCCTTCTGCAGCATTTTTGTATAGCTGTCACTTCTCCTTCCACTTGCTTTCCCCTGCAGACAGAGAGTGCCTGGAGATGTCCCCACACACACCTTCCTACGGGGCTTGTTTCTCAAAACTTGTGTCACACAGCTCCTCTCTGATCTCTCTCCACCCCCACTCCATGGCTCTTGTAGGCACCAGTGTGTGCGTCCTTCAGCCACACCCCCCCCTGTCTTGGCCTCACATGGGGATGATGGGCCGAGAGTTCAAATCATCGTGCAGGGCTTGCTGAAGAGGCTTTAGGAGCTTGGTTTGCTTAAAAGCAACAGCGATGTACAGGTCTGGGAATCACCGCTTAATGATGCGAGGGAGATTTTGCAGCAGTGCACCGAAGATTATGTTTAGAACAAAATTGTTCATGGCAGCAAATAATCATAGAATCATAGAATAGTTTCATCTGGAAGACATCTAGAAGATCATCGAGTCCAGCCTTTGTCCCAGCCCTATCAACCTACCAAACTGTGTTCCCCAGTGCAACATCCAGTCGTCTCTTAAACACCTCTAGGGACGGTGACTCAACCCCCTCCCTGGGCAGCCTGTTCCAATGGCTGACAACCCTTTCAGTAAAGAAATTCTTCCTAATATCAAACCTGAACCTCGCCTCGTGCAATTTAAATCCATTTCCCCTCATCTTATCACTCTCCACTAGAATAGACCAATAACACCACCCCCCCCCGGCCAACCTCCCTTCAGGTAGTTGTAGAGAGTGATGAGGTCTCCCTTCAATCTCCTCTTCTCTAAGCTAAACAGCCCCAGATCCCTCAGCCTTTCCTCATATGACTTGTGTTTCTTGGTATCCTGCCATGTCATACCTAATTTACTTTGTGAATGCAGTGGAACATACATATATATGTATATAGAGAGCTTTCAGGCTGCCTTTCATGGAGCAGTTCATTCTACTCCATCCAGTGGCATGTGGTAGAGGTAGTCTTGTACCCGGATCTCCACCACAAGAAGTTCCTCCCCTCCCAGTCCTGAGGTCAGGCTGTGCCACACAGAGTAGAACACGAGCAGAAGGACCCAGCGCTCTGCTCTAGTCCCATTTTGTTGGCTCGGCTCCGTTGTGGCACGTGTGTTTCTGGCTCATAGCACATCAGGGGAAACCCGAGGGGTCCCAAAGCTGCCTTGGGAGTGGGACAGTTCAGGTGTATCCTGGAAGAGTGACCCTTTAAACCATTTTTGTAATAGGTAACCTGCTATTTCGTTGAGCTGGAGTTGCACATAAGTGACTTAAATACTTCTAGTATTTAGAGCCAGTTAGAAAATATAGTATAAATAAGCAAAGAGGAGAGCAGAGCTTTACTCAGAGCTGTGTCCCCGACAGAGGATGCTGTCTTCTCCATTTGCCTTCCCCAGCTCCATCCTCTCCTCGGCTGGGGCCAGGGAGGCAACTGCCCTTGATAGTCCCCGCTTACACGGGAGGGTTCCTCAGGCTGAGAAGTCTGCGTCTGTCCCCCTCTCAACCACCCCTGAAGCCCTCCAGCTCCCTCCGGAGAGGGGCTGCTTGCTGGCTCTGGCTTTGGGATCAGGCTCCCTAAGAGCTGCAGGAGCCCAGCTTTCCTCCGTAACTCTATTTTCCAGCTAAAAGTGTTGTCCAAGGTAAATAACCCCGCTCATCCGGGCAGTCTCAGCTTGTGAGACTGGGCTTCCACCAGCCTTGCTCCATCGATACTTTTAACCCACTGGAAAGTAAAGATAAAAGGAAAAGGAATGGGTTAATTAATTGCTTTGGTTTGGTTTTCTAGCCATGTCATATGTAATTTCCTTTGTGAATGCAGTGGAATATATATATATATTTTTTTTATTTCCTCAGGCAAAAACACGTATGTCAGTTTTTAACCCTCTTGGTAACCGAGGTAAAATAGGTGCTATTAAGGAGAAGGTGTCCCTACAGACACGGCCTGAGGAGGCTGTATAGCAAACTGACATCCATTTCTATGCCTGGAAATATAAAAAACATACCGAGAAGTGTTTGTGAATTGTCTCCCCATTTGCATTACAAAATGAAATGCAAATAACTACTGCACTGTCTGTGTTATCTTTAGGATCTCAGAATCTGTTTTGGTTTGAAGCATTTTTTTATTTATATAATTACCATAAAATAACACCCCCAAAAGCCCAACGGTTTTTTTCCCCGTGAAATTTTCAGAGTTTCCTTTTTTGCTTGTCCTGATTACTCATTTTCTCTTTTGTTTCCTGTTTTGTTCTTTATTTTCCTTATCTACCTGCTGAATCACGCCATCCAATCAACATACAATGCGAAAACCATGTCTCCGTCTGTATGTTGTGCACCTGCTGCTCAAAAAAAAAATAAAAAAATTGTAAATAATCTTGCCAATACCCATCCATGAAAACATCACATATAGGACACGGTTGGTTTCATTGAATTTAAACAATTCTTTAAATTCTCTGCTTTTTTTATTTTCTCTCGTCTTTCTTTTAATTTGATTCGTTTTGATGAGATTTCCGATTGCACTGGTGAAAAAGCCTCACTGCAGCGTGCCTCAAAACTGGCTTCTGTTCTGCATCTTCTTCCCCTTGGCTAATTGGTGACGTGAGGCAAATGCAGTTACCAATAGCCTGTTCTCCGCTGTCTGTTACACCCGACAAGGATAAAGGGGAGACTGCCACTTGCTTTATTTTGGTGCAAAATTGAAGGGAAGGATGCTTCTGGATGACCTGCAGAAGAGGAGATTGGCTGCCTGGGACATCCTTCATTTTGGAAGTGATGCTACCAAATTCAGCTCTCAGAGACCGGTTTTGTTTCCTTTTATGATGAGCTTTCTGCGGAGGGAAGGAGTTTAAAAGAACTGCCTTACAGGGGTTTTAAGCCTATGGTTTGCACTGTACTGTAAGGCAAAAATTTACTGAAGTGATCACAGATTTGCTTCCCTCAAAGCAAAAGAGATGGCAAAGGAAAGAGGGACTTTTATTCGGCTTTGAAAATTCTTTGTGATGCCAGCATATAGAGGCATTTTGTCACCACAGTTGACATAGAGTCCCTCTATGCAAAAAGCAAACTTCTCAAGCAAAAAGTGTAAGTTACGTTAAGAACAAGACTGAAAAATACTGGGAACCAGATCCCACTGGGAATTTAGTGCCTGATTCCCAAGATGCCTTTGGAAATACTGGCTTTTTGTCTTTGCAAATTGTAACTTAAGCAAAAGAGGATGAGTAAAGAAAAATACAGCCTAAAAAAATTATATATTCTTCCATTCTTAATTATCTTGGCTATGGTCAATAACACAAATGAGACCATAAGCTAATCAAAATACCTGCTGGGCCACCTGCCAACAGCACTTGGATGGGTGCTAACATCTGGACTTCCCTGTTGCACAGTTGCTGTTAAGAAAGAAATCAGAGGGGGTCTTCAGGACAGACTGCAAATAATCTCCATGCATGCTTCATGGAGGGGGTTTTCTGCTAGGGAGCAGCAAAAAAGAAAACAACAAGGTGTCAGTGAAAGGTTTGCTTGGTGCAATTAGAGAAGGGAATGATCCACGTGTGCTGCGGTGGCTGGAACTGCTACAGAGGTGAGGTTGTCTCTGGAGACGTCACCTTCTGCCCAGGCAGCACCCATAAGGGCTCTGGCATCAGCTACAGACACAAAAATATACTGAAGAAGAAATTCAGCTTATCTTTATTTGGGCTCATTGCTGTGCATGTTGCAGTTTTGAGGTTTAAATGCTCATTGTGCAGTTTGTTAGGATTGCGATCTCTGTCATCGTATGTGCAGGTCCAGGCTCTTTCCATCACTCAGCATCCAAGGTGTCCGAGTTAGATCTCTGGATCACAAAGTTGTCCTCTGGAGCGGCCTTCTTCCTTTCACTGCTGGTGATGGGAGCCTACAGGGACTACAGCAGAAGCACCGAAGTTAGGAGGTAGTAGGAAATGAAGAGAGACCTGGGCATCACACACATAAAAGCGTTTTTCCAGTGCTTCTGGCTCAGGATGAAAGGAGACGGTTTGATATACCTGTAACAGCAGAGTCCCGAAGACACGGACAAGGGTGGCAAAAATCTTCAACCTCTTAAAATCAGGAAGAGTTTTCCCCAAAATATCCAAGACCCTATGCAAGATTCAGGAACTGTTCTTTGGTATTGGCAGTGCCACGGACATTTAAATTGAACACAACCATTTCCTCGACAGTTTTTCCTTAAGAGAATAGGTTAATTCTTGTTGATGCCAGATGAAAAGAGCTGCCAAAGCTTCCTGAGTGATCCCATTCTTGGCTTGGTTGGATTCCTCTTCCCACAGCCCTTAGCGACGACGGGTGGGCCCTTCAGTTTGAGGACGGAAATCTGAAGTTTCAAGTCCTGAGGGTGGTTGTGTGCTGAAAAAGGGGTTCTGGAAGAAGCAGGGATGAGCAGCTCAACTTCTGCCATATCTATTGCTTTGTGGCAGCCTAACAGAACCTCCTTCACTAAATCCTGCAGAGCGCATCCAGCTGGGGTATAAAAACCTCAGATACCCACTGCAGGTTTAAAAATCCAGAACACTGAAAGGCAGTGCTTTGCCATGAGTGTACAGAACAGAACTGATTCCGCATCCCTGTGGACAGCAGGCACAGCTCCTGTGTCGGGGAAGAAACTGCTCTGCTGCTGAAGCTGGAGGAATATGGAATCATAGAATGGTTTAGGTTGGGAAAGATCTTTAAGATTGAGTCCAACTGTTAACTGAGCAATGCCAGCCCACAGATGCCTTGTTCTTCATAGCTTTTCTACTTTACAGTATTCAAAACACCCTAAGAAAGGGTAGAAGAGCAGGCTGCCCAATGCTGGGACAAGGCCAGTTCTTCATCCGTGCTATCTGTTCTCCCTGTTTCTCTCCTGCTTTGCAGCTTGCTCCAGGGATGCATCCTTTCAGCCACACTCCTGCCATGGGAAGTAGTGTCCAGCCCCACCGGGGCCTGGCTCGATGCCTTCAGTACCAGAGCTCCCTCTTTTAGGAATAATAAAGCAATGGGGAGGGGGAAATGTTTTTCAAACGTAATTTGCTAGTACTCGAGGTGGATCATAAAATCATAAAGCTGCGGTGGCTTGTGTGAGCAATGGTCAGTCTTTAGCACCTGTGCAACAGAAAAGCAAACAAAAACCTGCAAAGAAAGACCTCAATAACCCAGAAGAGGATCATACAGGTGCCCTGTTACCCAGGTGGCTAAGCAGGAGGAGAATTGGTGCAAAACACACTTATACACAAGAAATATCGCAACGTGGAGTTTCCCCTTTAACTGCATGCAATTCTGATACCTGCCTGGAGAGTTGAGGTGCTGAAGGATGCGTTTTCTACGCGGTTGAGCTGAGGGTTACACACGCGGAGCCCTCCCACCCGTCTCGAGTGTGTGTAATTTTGCCTCCCTACGAACAGCGCAGAGAACGGTCCTTCAGGTGGTCTGTGAGTGTTGGTGCCGGTGGATTTTCCTGGGTTGTCAGTGATTCCTGGTGGAGCCGAGGCTTTCGCTGCACCTTAGGGAATGAGTCAAACAGCGAGGGTTGGGAGCTGGCAAGGGAAAATATGGATTATTTGTCTACTTGTCCCTCCAGATCTCAGGGAGTGGGGGTTATGGATGTGACCGCACAGTTTTGAGGCCCCTGTTTCATCTTGCTTTTGTAGAGGCTCTCCTGTAGAACTCCTCCCGTAGCGCAGGGAGAGCCAGTACTCGGTGTGACCTTGCAGCCAGCCTAGACCAAAGCGTTGCTTTAGATGGACTCATAAGATTATAGTCAAATGTGAGCAAAATGATGTTCTTGCTGCTTGGTTGTAGTAATGTGGGAAGAGGGAGGCAAGGCAGGTTCATACGTAGAGAGACGAGTCCTGCAGACACAGCCTGTGCCCCTGCTCCTCGGAGCAGCATCAGGCTTGTGCGTGGGCAGGAGCTGGCTTGAGCCTTGCTCTGGAGGTAATAATTCGTCAGACTCGCAAGCCAAGTGCCCCCCGAACATTACACATAAGGTCTGATCCAGTTCTTTCTCTCACGGGGAGATTTTCCTTGATTCAAACGGGCTCTGGGTTAAAACTCAGCCCTGCAGTGAGGCTGCCCTGCAGAGGTGCCACCCGCCTGGCTCCTGAGGACCAGATTAGTGACGACACCTGCTTATCCAGCTCTGCCTGCCCAGGCGAGTCCAGCTGGTGTTTGGTGAAGGCATGTGAGAAAGAGAACAGAAGCTAAGAGACAATTGTTGAATTTTTAGCACCTGTTTCACTGACCTTGAGCAACCCAGGGGAATCCTCACTTGTGTTTTGCCTGCCGGGGCTGATTTCTGTTGCTGACTTGAATGAGCTCAGTGTTGTCTGCTCTTTCATTGAACATACCTGTGCTTTTCTCTTTTCTCTTTATTTGGGGATTGAGTCTGATATACGGTCTGTGCCTTTACTCTGAGCTGCTTGCGTTTTTAACTTGAGAGAAACCAAGTGCATGCCTGAGACTGATTTCTTGAACTCTTTGATGGGATTGGTGGAATGCGATGCTAATGGCCCCAAAAACTGAGCTGGCATTTAAACGAATGAATAGATCCAACAAGCCCCCCAAATTCAGTATGAGCTCTGCAGCCAAATGAGCAAGAAATATAGGTCACTTGAATATGACTGGGTGTCTTCTGGTAAAACGATAATGCAAAGGAAAGACTGGTTTTGCTCATCTTTACCAACAAGAGCTCCTTATGATTACCTTTTCTGCTCTGCTGCTTGATAGTTTAAAGTGGGATGCTTTCTTTCTTTAGCTGACTCAGTCAAATAAGTGGCTGTGAACAGAGATTCACAAACAAGTGAATTGGAATCAGTATGGAAAGGGGGGATATTTTTCATCTCCTTAAAATAGGAGGGCAAGAGGGATCTGGCTTTTGCATGTTTTGTTTTGGAAAGAACCCTCTCTAGATTAGCTCATTGGGGCAAGAAACCTCTTTTCCCTGAAGGAAATAAGGAAACAGGGTGTGGGGTGGGGACAATTCTACAAAACAAATGGAAATCAGAATCTGTCTCCAGGAGTACTTTGATCCACCTGCAAAGGCACATTTAATAATAATTCCGAAAAAAATCAGCAGGTTCTTAAGGTGCCCTCCTGCTGTTGAATGCTCAGCCTCCACAACTGATTTGCTGCCGTTGACCCATCTTCCAAACAGTCTTGCTGGTGCCATTTCTCTTTGACGAGCCTGTCCAGTCACATGTCGTATAAACATTTAAAACCTCCACGTTAGAAAACATCCTCATGCTTTCAAGGATGTTTTAGTCTTCACTGGACAATGCCTTTCCTTGTTACTGCATATGCAGCCCCTTGCAACTGTCTTGGCTTAAGTCCAATTCATTGCAGAAAGTGAGCTGGCCAAGACTTCAAAACAATCTTGTTCTTTACAAAATGATAATACGGCACCATTACCTCTCCTTCAGTCTTTAGTGGAGAGAAAATCTGCCTTACTCAAAGAAAACAAGACCTCCATGGACAGCGTGGAAGGGCCTTTTCCCCATTGACCCAGTAGCAGAGGGGAGGGCTCTTGTGGAGAGGGATTTTCTCATACTTGCTGCATGTGGAGTGATCTGCACTGACGAATGTTTCTTTTGGAAGGTTTTCTGGTGGCCGATTTGCTGCTTAGATCGTGAAGCTGGTAATTTTAATTTCTTTTTTGCGGGCTGTGGTTTCCCATCGCGTTAATTTCTGAAGGACACAAAACCTTTACTTTCCGCAGGACAACTTCATCAACCTCAGCTTCCTGCGGCTCTTCAGGGCAGCGAGACTCATCAAGCTCCTCCGCCAGGGTTACACAATCCGCATCTTGCTCTGGACGTTTGTGCAGTCTTTTAAGGTGAGTCTTGGGTGGGTGGGAGGCGGGGAGGAGACACAGGGAGATGGTAACGCTTGGCATGTCTGTGGCACCCTCCACCAAGTATATTGAAGAACATCCCCTTGCCGAGGGCACGGCCTCTGTGCACCTCTACAGAGCAACTACAGGAATATTAATTCTGTAGAAAAGTGCCCTGAGCGCTGCAGATGCTGAGCATTTGGGAAGATGAGTCTGAACCCGGGCGGCTGCTGATGCAGACTCACAGCAAGTGTGCCAAGATCAGGTGGCCCGTGAAACTGTCACAAAATCCCTGTGGCAAAGTCTTGAGACTCGGGTGTTCACGTCAAGAAATGATAGTTTGACTAGGAAGTGCCTTCATACCCCTTGTTTGCCTGCAGCAAGTGCAACGTTAATTTGTTTTCACCAGGTTTCGGTCTCGGTAGAATCTGATAGAGGCAAACTCCACACTGTTGTGCTTAGCTTTGGGGTAGCTGCTTTCCAGGTATAAACAGGGGTCCACATGCCCCAAAGCTGGTTATTTTTAACTGCTCTCATCTCCTTTGCAGCCTGTTTCTCCAGCTTGTTGTGTTTTAACTGTGGTTATGGGGTATCCTCGCGCTCTGCAGTGCAGTGGGGAGATAATTTAATCTGAATCAGGATCTGTAGCACTGAGGCTGAGCTCTAATGCATTAATACTTATTGACTTTGAGACCTTATAGCAGCTTTCTGGTACTTAAAGGGGGTCTACAGGAAAGATGGAGAGGGACTCTTTATCAGGGAATGCAGTGATAGGACGAGGTGTAACGGTTTCAAACTGAAAGAAGGTGGATTTAGAGTAAATTTTAGGAAGAGACATTGGCACAGGTTGCCCACAGAAATTGTGGATGCCTCATCCCTGGTACTGTTAAAGGACAGGCTGGATGGGACTTTGAGCAACCTGGTGTGGTGGGAGGTGTCCCTGCCCATGGCCAGGGGATTGGAACCTCTTCTCCCAGCAAGCACTTGACTTCTCTGGCTCCAGAGATTTCTCAGGACTTTGAGAAAAATATAAGCAGGGAGTTGGGCTGGGGAAGCAAAGTGGCTGAAGATGGATCTATTTACTAGCTTACAGCTATGGTCAGCACACTTCATCTCCCGATTGCTGGTGGGATGCTGTGGTCCCAGGTACTGCCCGTGCATGTGGCGGGTGGCTCATCAAGCCTGGGGACCACAGCTCTGGCTTTGCACAGGGTCTCACCTTCTGGGCTGAGCTCTGAGGTCTGTGGGTCACAGCTTATTCCCTGTGTGCTCTCATATGCTCAGTGGAGTTTATCCGCAGGCGGGTGCAATGTCAGGGTATTTTGCCCAGCGCTTTGTGGAAGGTGTTATGGTGGCAGTTGGTATTTAAGGATGCAGAGTGCGGTGGGATGCAGGTTTCTTTTGCTTTAGCTGTGCTTTCTAGCACATCGTGGTGTCTCAGTCAAAATGATGCAGAGAGGTTATTTTAAGGGATAAAACTGTGGGGAGATGTGTGCTCTGTCCAGAAATGGAGAAGATTTTTTAAGAGGAGAAAGGCATTTCTCTCCTGGGCTTGGAGAGAGATGCTGGGTGGCTGGGAGGGCTGGCCAGCCCCGTGCCGCCTGCGAGACAACCAGGCTGGTTTCAGCAGAGCAGGAACGTGGCTATTGCTCTGCTCCAGGGCTGCTCGAAAGGGAGGTTTCTGTTAGACCCTTTTAGGCAAAACTTTTCTGAAGGGTGGAGAATAGCAACTGCTTCTTTCTACAAGCAACCTGGAGAAGAACTGGAGGCATCGATGCTGTTACATCACGCCCAGGGCTGGGAGTGAGCGCTGGTTTACATGTCCCTTTGGGAGACACCAGGCAGGCAGGGGGTGCTCTCGCGTTCAGCTCCGATGCTATGCTTCACCCAACCATCAAACAGATCATGGAAAAGGACTGTGATCTGGGGGGCTGCAGTGCTTTAGATTTGTTATGTTGCTTTTCTCTTGAGGGTAGGTGGAGGTGCTGTTGCTGCTGCTCTCACCTGGTAACTTAATGCAAATCCTGCGGCCAGGAGAGCCTCTACCAGAAGCTGAGTTGTGGGGTCTGCAGGTATAAGATGTTCCTTCTCGGGAGAGTGTCCTTAGACCGTGTAGTCTTGGGAGAGGGGCTGAGCCACAGCCCTTTCCAGTATAACCCTGACCCTTTCCAAAAGTGTGTGTAGAGTACTGCCCCGGGAGTGAAGCCGGGACAGTTCCTGGGTTGCATGGGGAGCTGCGTGGCTGGCTGTGCGCCGGCACTGAGGACTTGGTCCTTGTCCCTCGTGCGAAGGTATCCAGCAGAATTGTAGAATCATAGAATGTTAGAGGTTCAAGGGATCTCTAGAGATCATCTAGTCCAACCCCCTGCCAGAGCAGGATCCCCCAGGGCAGCCCCACAGGAACGCGTCCAGGCGGGTTTGAAAGTCTCCAGAGCAGGAGACTCCACACCCTCTCTGGGCAGCCTGGACCAGGGCTCCAGCACCTGCACAGGAAAGAAGTTTTTCCTCATGTTGAGGTGGAACTTCCTGTTTTCTAGCTTAAACCCATTATTCCTTGTGCTATTACTGGGCACCACCGAAAAGAGACTGGCCCCTTCTTCTTGACACCCACCCCTCAGATATTTATATACCTTAATAAGAAATAAGAAACCACATCAGCCCTTTGCCCCACGGGCTGCGTAACCCCTCTCCTACCCTGAGCATCACACAGTCTAGCCCTTTTTTAGCTCTTACTCGTTAAGAGGCATTAATTACTCATTCGTTTAGCCCAAGTGTAATGTAGCTATTACTCTCAGCTTGGGTGTCATAATTACATTGTAGCCTTCACTGATTTCTTGCTGAAACTCAGAATCTTTTTGTCCTTCTGGGGTTGCAATCTGTGCCTCTTTCAGAGAAGGAACATGTTTCTTGGATGTGTATTTTTTCTCATGCTAAATTTACAGCAAGGTCATTAAAAATTAATGTTCATACAATTATGCATAGAAAGTGCCAGGGCCTGCCGTTAGCTCCAGCGCTCGCTGCGGAGCTTCTCATTGTGTTTTCCCTTCTTACTGCTTATCTGCTTGCAAGGATGCATAGAGAGCCCTCGGAAAGCCCAGACTGCTTTGTAATCGATGAATACCTGGCTCCAGGGGTTTGTCTTCTGAAGGCTGCCAGAATTGTTCATATTCTCTTCCCAGTTCCTTCATCTGAAGGACAAATGCCACAAAACACAGCGCTGCCCAGAAATTCAATGCTGCCGGCAGACCCGTGCATTTGCTGTCGTTAATACCCCCTTCTCGTTTTCCGCAGGCCTTGCCTTACGTGTGTCTCCTCATTGCAATGCTTTTCTTCATCTACGCCATTATCGGCATGCAGGTAAAAATTTAACTTTGGTAAGACTGACTGTAAGTAGCCTGGTTCTATCCTGCTGGTTCAGGGTGCAAATGGGTTATTGCCAGCAAGTGACCTGGGATGAGGCAAATGCTCTTCTTGTCTGGTGCTGGGTAAATTAGAAGTGCAAAAAAAAAAAAAAGGCCATCTTTTTCCTACCCTTATTTCCAGGTCCTTTGTGGACCCTGGCCCTGGGTGTGCAGCACCTCGAGAGGGTCTCTGTGGGCAGGCATGTGCCTTCCTTGGAGACAGGCATGTCAAGAGGCTGAGAGCACGGAACTGCACTTTCCTGAAAAGAAATGAGAAAATCCTTTTGGCCTGGGACACAACTGACCTGTGGTGCTGGAAAGGGTCTGTGTGTAGATGAAGCACATTAACCCTTGGGGTTTTTTCCCCCCGTTTGATGTCCACAACACATTTTTGTCTCCCTTTTCAGAAGCTATTCTAGCTTTCGAGCTCCCTTAAACCAGGAGAGATGATTTTCCTGCCTTTTCTTCCAGCTCCACTTGATCCTCTTTTATTGGCAATTTCTGTGTGAGAATGTGTTTGGTCTGAATCACTTCTGTTTTCTGTGGCAGGTGTTTGGAAACATTGCTCTAGATGATGAAACCTCCATTAATCGGCACAATAACTTCCGTACCTTCCTCCAAGCCCTGATGCTTCTGTTCAGGTAAGTAGAGTCGAAAATGCCACGGGACCTGTGTGGGAACAGTAAATAAATCTTTGGTTTTGCACATGCCAGTTTAGCTGCTGAAATTTAGACATCCTCTAAAGAAGGTGTTTGGAGTGAAGCATCTGTTCCTGCTTCCTCCTCGGCACTAAGGGCTGACCTGGATCATCTCTGAATATGACAGATCTGATTCAAGATGCCAGCATCTCCCCAAAGTGACACCCAGTGCAGTGAGACCTCATGTCAACTCAGGGAGAAGCTTAATATAAGACAGAAAGCCTCTGGTTTAGCTGATCCATGTGTTGCCTGTCATAAAGCTCTTTTTTTTTCTAAGAGAAAATTCTTTTAATTGGTCATTTTTGCATTACCAACAAGTTAACAATTCATACGTCAACGCCACCTCTGCTTCTGAGCGCAAATGTTTCCATCTGGGTTCATTCTGCCTGGAAGTGAAGCATTTCCAAAGGAAAAATGAATGAAATCACAGGTTTTTGCTTTTTCAGACCCGGCAAAAATGAAGCGCAGGCCCCGCTCCAACTCGGGGCAGCTTGGGGAAGGTTTCACTTATCTGTGGGGTGTGGAAATGCTGCGGTTAATAATCGCTCTGGCCCCACAGCTGTGCCAAGGCTGGGCTCCCAACTGGAGATCTTGCCTGGGGTTTGGTTTGCATAGTTTCTGTGAAGGCAGGAGGGAATGAAATCAGCCCTCTCTAGCTCAGAATGATCACCCAACTCAAACCTCTGCATTGTAATTCCACTGGATAATTATTTAGTCTTGTGTCCAGTCCTCTTGGGCCCTGTCCAGAGCAGCAGGACGGAGGGGCAGAGGCAGCAGGACTGCGGTGGGGTCTTGCACCAGGGAACGGGGCCATCGGTGGGGGAATCTGCTGGGCAATTCACAAGTAGCCTGGAAGCTCTTTCAGGTTAAAGCTGATCATCAAGCTTTCTCTGCAACAAGACGGGCTGCTCGTGGTGCCATGGAGGGATGCCCCTAAAGGCACCCTGGGGTGATGTACAGAAATTAGGAGAAATCTGAGGTTACGTAGGAAGTCGGAGTAAATGAACATGGGCATCCCCTGGCTTCCGATCCATGTGTGGATCCATGAGGTGGTTTATTTTGAGGACAGACTCTCTCAAAAGTCCTTCTTTTTGGTTTTTTTTTTAATCCCTACAGTAGAAGCAGAAGTTAGAGGAGGAGGAGGAGGAGGGAAATGAGGAAAAAGCCCAGGGGACTGTCGTGAGAGAGGGACTCAAGTCAGTGTGACCAATGAAACCATCCTGTTATTATTTCTTCATCTGCTTCATAAAGGAATCGAGATTTAAGTGAAGAAGCCTGGTTTCGTTTCCCATCACCTCCATTGGGTTTACAGCCAGCCCTAGGACACAAATGTTAGCTGCTTCAAAGGGGAGCAATCTCAACTCCTTTTGCTTTTATTTGTGCTTTTCATTCGACACATTTTAAATGAATCTGGTTTTATTCTCCGTAAATAAAGCTTCACCTGCCTGAGCTTGGTTGGTTTCCTCCCCCTCCCTGAAAGAGAGCAAAATGTTCTTTTTCATGTTGGTAGGCTGGTAGTTCAAATTCTTAATGCCAGTGTAGTCTCTCCACCTGGACACACCCTTCCACCTGATTAATTTAGGTACAGATATCTAAATTATATTGGGAGTTAAGCTTACTCTCTGTCCTCTCCGTCTGCAGAAGCGCCACGGGGGAAGCCTGGCATGAGATCATGCTGTCGTGCCTGAGCAACAGAGCCTGCGACCCGCTCTCCGGCCTCACCAAAAAAGAATGTGGCAGCGATTTTGCCTATTTCTACTTCGTGTCATTCATCTTCCTGTGTTCCTTCCTGGTAAGTCGATCGGTGTTGGTGTGTTTCCCCCGCCCCAGCCCTTCCTTCCCCACCCCTTTGCTTCCTTCTTCTCCCTAATTACGATTTATACAACATTACAAGACAGCTTCGCTAAAAAAAAAAAACATTTATCATCCTGGTGATAAAAATCCCTTTAATCCCCAAAGAGATCATTTAGTCATTAGTTTAAAGGGAAGGTTTTTATCTATCTTCTCACAGGGGGATCTAATATTTGGAATTACGTGTTAAGCTGTTTTGTCTTGATTTGTAACACGGCCCTTTGAAGAAGAGGATTGGAGAGGGCAGGGGGAGAACGGCCGAGATAGCATTGGTTCAGAAGTGCTTGCGGCAGGCAGCTGGGAGCATCGCACTTGTTTGATGGCTCATGTTTTGTTTTGTTTGTCAAATAAGTGCAATTTTCTTCCGTGGTGGTGCCAGGAAAGCTTTAGACATGAAAGTACGGAGAGCTGTTGCAGCTGGTTGGTGCTCCTGGCCATGATACAGGGCTGGCTCTGAGCTTTGTGAGGTGCCAGTGTCTGTCTGATGACTTGCACGCATAAAAACCTCTTGGCTTTCAGGGCTTCATTCGCTTTCCTGCACCACTGGGACAGAGGAATGGAAAACCAGGGACAGGGACCCAATTAAACTTCAAGCAGGAGGAGATGAAAGTCATAGCTCTGAAACGTACCAAAAAGCAACTTATCGAGCCTACATTTGGTTCGCTTTAAAATACGAGCTGTGATGCTTTGTGCCGCTAATCATCAGAAACCTCTACCCAGGAAAAAGAGGGGCACGTGGCAGTTTGATGCTGGGTATAGAGAGACCAAGTTCAATGGCCCCCACTGGGATCCTTTGCCCAACTGTTGTTGCCCCTTTCACACCCCGTGGTCTATTTCTTCTGCATATATTAAAAAACACGGAGCCCTGAAAACTTTATACAAAGTTAATGCTCCACTTACTGAGCCTTTCGGTGGTATTTTAAAGCTGGATTTTTTCCTAGCCCAACATCAGACACCCTCAGTGTTATTTTCAAGACCGTTATTGTTCCTAAAACTTTTTCTTTGAAAAACACAAACAAAAACACCTCCTGCCCCGGCCACAACTTGTCCTCACTGGCTTATATCAGCTGTCCCACTCAAAATGTAGAATCAGAATTGAAGGCTGGAGAATATCTGTGCAAAACGCAGCGTTGCATGAGCTTCATCCCTGAGGCAATGCTCCCAAAAAATCCCCCTTAAAACACACCCCGGGGCTTTGCTGGCAGAGAGAAGGGAGAGCAGGGAGTGCTGGCTCCAAAAATAGGCACCGGAAAGCCAAGCAGCTGGACTGCTATGGGACAGGGCTGTACCTCCTTTCTTAAAATGAGCTCAGCACTTCCTTGCAATGAAACGTGTGGTTCCTCATCGGCATTAAAAGCGTTCCAGAGGCACGGCCGTGCCAGCAGGGCAGGTCTTTATGGGTTGTGCGATGTTGCTACGCCAGAGGTTGCAGGCGAGTTGGATAACATATTTGTTTTTAAACGTTGTTTCCGGCTCTTTGTGGATGTAATTTTCCTCCTGGAATTTACACTGGTGAAAAACGTAAACTGAGATTTAAATATATGTGGGAACTTTAAAAACCAGGGGAAACTGCACTGAGCCATAGCTGCAGTGGGAAACATTGGAAAGGGACTGGAGGTTGAGGGCAAACTCTCAAAAGTTTTGCTGCCTTTCAGTGCTCTGGGGGTACTGTGTCCCAGGGGGGGTTCCTGCAGCACCTGAGCTGATGTGACCATGGTGCTTCCAGCCTTCGAGCAGCTTATGGGGAGCTGAGTTGGACATCCCTGTCCAGGACCATGTGGAGAACCCAGACGACATCCCAGGGCTTGTCTAGGCTGTGCTGCACAGACACCCTGCGAGCATCCAGGGGCAATGGAGGCACAAACAGGGGCACAAAACACTGCCTTGGTTGCCTTCGCCCCATGTTGGAGCTGACGAGTGAGCTCCAGCAGGTTGCTGCAGAGGCAGAAACCTTGTCTGTGGCCAAGGCAGTAGTGGGGCTGACATGTGCTTGGTGTGAAGAAGACCCTTTAGTGGTGTAAGTCAGCCTGGAGCCCTGGTGTAGGACATTGTTGCACCTGGGGCTGCGTTCTGCTCCTCACTTTCTGTTGAGGTGGGTTCTGAAAAACAGATGAACTACAGGTCTGGGAAGTCCTCGAGTAGCATTTGATGGTGACGTGGTGGTTTGGTTTGGACTGTGCTCATCTGTACTGGTGGATTCTGTGTCCCAGCAAGACCCTCTCCTCCCTCCAGATCACACAGGAACGTGAAGTCTTTAAAACTGCACCCCCTTCAAACTCCACCACCTGATTTTGTTTGACGACAGGCAGACCAGCCGGGCACGGCCGTATTCAGGTTAATTATGCTCATCCCCACGCGAGAGCTCGAGGGCTGCTCGGCTGCAGTCCTGGCTGAGCATGGGACTGAGGAGCAGCTCTCACAGCAGCAGCAAAAAGAAAGAGGCAGAAGAAAGGGGCCTTGAAGCAGTTGGGCTGTTTTTCAGCACAGGAGAATCCACTCCCTGCTGCCCTTCTGCTCCTTCATTCTGCCGGCTGCAGTTTGATCTTTTCCCACTGAAAGCCTTGTGACTCTTCCATTGGCTTTAATAAGGGGAGAATCTTTATATGTGTTTGCCAGGCTTGTGTTAGTGGCTGCTGGGGACAGGAGCCTTTTGTGTGTCCTGCCCCTCATCCTTCTGGGCATCTTTGACGGTATGAATGGCTACGAGTCTAAAACAGGACATTCAGGCTGAAGAATGGTTTTTCTTCTGGCTGTATGATTCTAGCTGAATCATACCTGCTCCCCTTCCAGTTTCTTTTCTTGCCCTTCTCCTTCCCTCTCTAACTGCCTTATTGCCTCGTCTCTGCAGATGTTGAACCTGTTTGTGGCTGTGATTATGGACAATTTTGAATACCTGACAAGAGACTCCTCCATCCTTGGGCCCCATCATTTGGATGAGTTTGTCCGTGTCTGGGCTGAATATGACCCGGCTGCCTGGTATGTACACTGGTATAACTCAAATGTGGAGAAAAGGATACACAATGTATAGAAATACCACACCTGTGCACACAAAAGGTCTGTTTTAATGCAAGTACAGCTCCAGAAGGAATCGACTCCAAAGCCTGAGGTAACAGTGGTGGTAAATGCTCCAACTTTAATTCACTGGGTGCTGGAGATGAACAAATCTGATGTCATTACAAGGGCATTTCCTTCAAATAGAAACAAGATACACATAAACCAACAAAAAAAATAAAAATACAAAAAACCATCCCTCTCTCCTCCTCACACACACAGGGCAAATAATTAATAGGGTAAATCAAATATTTTTGGCTAAATGGCCAAGTCAAAAAGCTGTTTAGCATTTCCAAAAGGAGCTTTGATTGCCTTTGGTTTCTGCATCCCAGTTTGGAAATGAAAATATAGTCTTGGCAGCTCTTTAGGTAGCCTGAGAGGCCTTGCAGTACCTCATTTTTGCAGCATTTCTCTCCTATTGTGAACCACCTTCATGCTTTCACAAATCCTGTGCAGACACCTGAGGTTACACAAAAAAAATTTAAAATTTTACAAGTTTTCAAGGGGTTATCTCTCCCCTGAGAAGAGATGATGTTCCCCAGTGCTTTGCATCCAAGTCAAGGGCTACAGGCTCAGACTTCATCGCTTGCCTTCCCCCACCCCTGGGGCAGCAGGGACTGACTGGATGTTTCTCGACCTGAGGATGCTTTGCTGAAAAGATGGGATTTTTAAACTAACGTTTTGATCTCGGAAGTCTCCTCCTAATGACAGCAAACTGTAGAGGGGAATTTTTGTTCTTTTAAATACTCTTTTAGCTTTTGGGCTTGCAGTTGAAATGTTAAGACGTGCGAAATACTGAGAAGAAAATGCAAGAAGCCTAACTTTGGCAGCATTTCAGTTCTCAGTGAACCTCTGATAAAGTGTTCCTGGTATGTGAATGTGTTAAGGGAGGAGATGGTTTTCTCTGAGCCAGAGCATGAGGTGTTCGGGTTTGTGGGGTTATCTCTTTGTTTTTCTTGCTCAAAGACTCTGGCAGGGAGAGCTGCAGCCCCCGGCTTAAGCACCTTGTCCGCAGAGGGTGGGCACTGTGCTGTGGCAGACCCAAGAGCCGCTGCTGAAGCATTTTAAGGATTTTTATTTTTTTAATGAGGGAACAGCTCTGACCAGTGCAAGACTTCAATATGTTGCTTTACTGCACTGCCCAGAGACAGCTACTGCTCAACAGTTCTGGTGACTGTGTTATTCTCATTTCTAGATGCTCTGAGACACAGGGCACAGTAATTTCCTTTATATTCTGCAGCTCAGGAATTTGTCTGTTGGGAGGCATTTTTTTTATTTAAAACCCTGCTGATTTTGTATCCATTTTCCTCCCCACAATTTGCTCTGCAATGAATTTCCTCGTTATTTGTAACGAAGCTGCCTCCAATCTTTCCATTCTTTTTTGTTTCCCTTCAGTGGAGACAGATGCAGAAAGTGTTGCTACAATCAGCTTCTCAAACTCCCTGCTAGGATGCAATTAAACTGCTTTGAAATCTCAGTCAAATTGATTTAGGCTAACTTTAAATGTAAGCCTCTTCCAAAATGACTGTGTTTCTCTGAACTGTGTGTGATTTTAACTAGCTCCGAGCCTGCATCTATACTGTGCGCATACTAGCAGCATGTAATCTCCAAGCAGATTTTCATTACCATGTGCTCTGTAGCACCGACAAGTCCTTTGTGGATATTTGGCAGGCAGTAAATAGCTTTTTTCCCTTTTCCAAATCCAGTCCTATCTCCTATTGCTAGAAAATCTCAATGAGACCGAGAACTTGGGGAGTGCCCCTTCTCTCCTTAAGAAATAGTCTTGGCTCTGATTAGCATCTGTGGGAGGAGTAGCACACCTGCAAAGGAAAAAATGAGTATCAATGTGGTTTTTTAATGCTTATGTGTTCAGGAACTTTCCACCCATATGAGGCATAAGCATTAAGTTTACAGAAAGATTTGCTCGCTCTGAGCGCAGAGGTTTTGTGACTCACTCAGGGGCCAAACCTTTTCACTTTTAATACAGAATATGTCATATATTAAGACCCTGATTCTGTTTTTCTCCACCCGTGTTCCCGTTTTGCTCTGGTGCAAAGCTGTTGATGTTGGCAGAGTGACCGCGGGCAGGAGCGCCAATCAAAGGATGGCCAAGACGTGACGCTCGAGGCTTGGTCCTGAAACATGTGCATATTCTGGGTTTTCCGTGTGTGAATAATTCTGCTGAAATCACTCGTGTTTGCATAAGTGGGACCAGCACTCCCACAATTTAAAAGTAATCTGGAATTTGTTCCCGGTCGGAACAGATCTTTTGCTTATTTGGTCAGAACTTCAGTGGTGTTCTGGATGTGATATTTCACAATAGTTGTCCATGGGCTGAGTTTAGTGACTTGTCATTTAAGGTACAGGTCCCGGGAGCACACCCCTCTGAGCTGAAGACACAGGGCTTTCGAGCACCCAGGTTTTTATTCAGCTATTCTTCCAGTAATTGGTCAAACCCATCAAGAGAAAACGTTGACCCAATTTTTGTTTTCCACGTCAGCCACCTCCTTTCAGCATTTCAACTCCCAGTATAGGTAGATGTAGCGGAATGGTAAATAATCACCACAGCAGATTTTGCGAGAAAGCAGCCTCCCAGGCAGGGTTATCTTCTGCTTAGATGCAGGTGAGCTGGTTCCTACTCCCACCTGTCACTGCCTGATCTCCTCACTCAGGGTCTCTTTGATTGCCCCACGGAAAAGGGAATTACGACGTTTGTCCACTTGCCGTAGCTTGAAACTCTCCCTGAAAGATGCTGCGTGGGTCAAAAGTACGAGTTATACAGATAACATTTAAAACACAGGCTTAGTGTGTGCGCGTTTACATACCTGCTTCCAATATCACCTTTGTTTTTGATACAAAATCCAACTTTCTCTAAACTTCTCCGGGGAAAACGGTTCAAAAGGCAATTAAAAAAAGCAGCTAGCTGGTGTTGCACTCCACGGGGGTAAGTATGGGCACACTGTTGGATTTAGGGGTGGTAGAAGCCTCGGGCTCACAATAAAAAGAGAGAGAGAAATGGAGCACACACAGAGGTTTGGGCTGGGAGTTAATGAGGAAAAGAATGAAAACACTGAATTTAAGGATGAACTGGGCAAGAAAGAGAATGGGATGTCTATGAGCTTCTGTTTGCTCAAGGTGTGTAAAGTGAGTGCTTTCTCTCTCTTATGGCCCCCTTCCCAGTGCGTAACCCTTAGAGATACTGGGAATATTGATCTTGCCACCTCATTCCCATTAGTTGCTCCCAAGAGCCAAGGGAGATGCTACTGGTAGGAGCTTCATTGGTCAGGAGGAGGTGCACATGATCCTGAGCGAAGAGCTTTTTCTCAGCTATCTGAGGTAAAGGGCTGCTGGTGTAAATAATCAAAGCTCAAATAGATTTAAATAACCTGGGAAGTAGTCCCTGTCTCTCATAATTTGCTGCCATGACCTTCCAATGCAACACATTTACTGGTTTTCAAGCCTTCCAGGGACTCTTGGAGAGCCCAGGGAACTGCTCATATGTATTTTCCACACGCTGATTTTTACAAAACTGTTCTAAAATTTTGGGAAAGTTCTTGACTCAGTTAAAGCAATATACTTTTTATAACCACAATTAGGCCTGCAGCCAAGACTTGCGCTGTTCCATTTGATCTGTTTCTGGATTAATAGTTTTGAGTTGATTGCGAAGGTTTTGAATAGATCTTAATTTTTCACATCCAAAAAAGCAGTAATATTGAAGGAGATATTCCAAAATATTCCAGCCTTCTTTATATAATGTACCAAAATAAACATAGTGAAGCCAAATCATCTCATTTTTCCTTGGAGGTCATTTTGAGGTTCAGCGCAGCCCTTTTTGGTACATGATTTGGTTACTTACAAAAGATTGAAGAAATCTAATCCTGCTGTTAAATTAGCTGAAAATATTGTTGGGAGTTTAACGAGACTGACCGTAAAACTACCTCGAGGCATCTCATTTCACCTCCTGGTAATGAAGGCTGGATTTTCCCAGCGCTAATGGCCAAGATGCCTCTCGAGAGGCCACTTTCTGCCCTCGCAGCACATTGCTCATTGCCCGTAAAGTGGAGCGCAGCCCTGCTGGGGTTACGTAGGTGGTAGCGGTGGAAGGTAAAGGTTTGCAAGCTCTTTCCAATGAGCTCATTTGAATCCCAGTACTAACCCATTAACCAGGCTGTTTGTGTGCTGCTGGCTCTGGTTTTGTTGGGCTGCACAGCGGGTAGGGGTGGTCTGTGGGCAGATGCTCAGGCCCAGAGGAGTGGAACGTTAGTGACAAAGGTAACCCAATGCAAAGGCTGGAAAGCCTTGCACGTGACACTGAGGGTTTTGCAGAAGAATATCCAAGGGTATAGATTTTGCTGAGCAGTTGGAAGTTCTCTCTTGTTCTTTCTCTGTGTTAAAGTGCCTCGGATCAGTTGCAAGCCCGGTTGCTGTCAGACTAACCATTCCTTTTCAGCGTGTTTTGCCCTTCCAACTTCACCTGTTTGCCTGGGGAAAAGCTGATTCCTCTCAGTTTTTGCTGTTGTAACATCTGGTGTTTTCTTTCCAGTTGCCGGATTCATTATAAGGATATGTACAATTTGTTACGTGTAATTGCTCCACCCCTGGGCTTAGGAAAGAAGTGCCCTCATAGGGTGGCATACAAGGTTTGGAACTTCAGAGACTCCCTCAGCATTTTCAGTTCTGGTTTTGTTTCCTTTTACCCTTTCCCCAAATGCAAACAGTACAGAAAAGAAACTGTAACGTAACTAACCCCTTGCCTGAAAAAAAAGGAATGATTGACTGACTGCCTCCTTTTTCCTTGGTGCATCTCTTCCCCGTCTACTCCCACACCCCAGCTGGCTGGAGACAAGGCAGCTTTATGAGACAGTGAACCCTCCAGCTCTCATCCTGCAGGGTCTGGGTGGGAAGTGTTGGGGAAAAAGCAGCACAGCATCTGAGCACTTTCTCTCTAGATACACATACCGGAGACAAATGTCATCCCCAGAGTTCTAGGGAGTAGCATGTCCATTGTGTTTGGGCTTCGTGGCATCACCCCTGCAGTTGAAGGACCAATGGTCGAACCCTTTCCTGAGCTGAAAAGCCATTTGATCTGGGCACTGGTTACCTGGTCGACAGAGTGAGGTGGTTACCTCAGCCGGGGAGAGGTGAAGGGATGAGGTTTTCACAGTGCAGCAGCCAGAGGTTGCCTTGGGAGTGAGATTATGTCTCTGAGATTGTAAGCGATGATGGGCACCCAGTGAAACCTCCTGCCTCGTGGCGCAGGAGAAGCATGGGAGACAAGGTGGGCAGTTAAGGACAGATCTGGACAAGAAATCGGCACAGGATGACACTGGACATCACTGGGTTCCCAGTTACCGGCAGAGTTTTTACCGCAGTCAGTGCCTGGAAAGCAAAAGGCGAAGGAGAGGTGGAAGCAGCCAGCATGGAGCTGCCTTTTCTCTTTCACTCCAGCCCGGGTGTTCTCTGCACCTGATTGGGGATGAGGAGTTGCAGCAAAGACATGGTGAGAGCCTCTGCCTCCAGCCAGGGCAGGGGCAGGAGAGAGAAACCAGGGCGAAGCCATTGCCTGTAATTACAATTTCTGTCTCTCAGCAGCCTTTACATTAACTCTGGGTTGTAAAACCTGGGTGAAATTTTCAAGTTACCAAGGACAGGAATAGATGGTTTTGGCTTGGTAAGTTCTCTTTTCCACCCCCATCCTGCATCAATGCTTTACATAGGAATTGGGACCCACATTAGGGCAGTGGGCTGGCATGCGGGCGCTGCTTTTGTAGCTGTCCTGCTTAAAAAAGGATTTTATTTGGGTACTCAGGTCTTGGTTTCCCTCCTAGTATGGTGGACATGATAACACTGTCCTGCTTTTCCACAGGTTAAACATTAATTAATAAGATGCTGTGATATACTTGCATCTCCTCAGACAGGCAGCACAGATTTGCACAGTACAATGGGCAGGGAAAGCTCGCTGTGAAAACAAAATGAGATTGTTGTAGTCACACTCCTAGTTTCAATAGTCAGAAAAAAGTGAAGCAGGAGAATTCCTTATTGTTTCTGCATACCTTGCTTACCAGAGCGGGATTTTCTTTATCACTAATGTGTGCTGAAGGTAGATGTCATCAGTAATGGGCTGGTCTAAGGTCCTTTTCGCAAATCTCTGCAGTTCCCAGATCCCTCCAACGCGTGGGAGAGCCAGCTGCCCTTGGTGGTGAAAACAATTGGTTGACATTGGCTTGATGAAAGAGGGGCCCCATAAAATGTGGGAGAGAAACAGGTCCCATTTCTGCCACCTTCCTGCAGATTGAGGGCTGGGCTCTGGTTGGCCCTTGGATGGGAGCCAGAGCCATCCCCTGAGCAAACACACCAGGACCGGCTTTTTCTCTTCTCATAGCCCCTGAAAACCAAACTCTTCATTCACTGAGGGAAAGCTGAATCTTTTCTCTAAGCCCTCTCTCTCCCTGTCCCATAACTCTGCCTACCAGCTCTCCCTGGCATGGTGAATACAGCCTCCTGATTGACTGGTTTGTGGAGCGGGGGGTGTAAGAAGGGGAAGCACCCCCCAGCCTGACCCCAGCCCCCCCAACCCCGAGGGGAGCCATCAATCATTCCCCACAGGGACCCTCGGTGCTGGCCATGGGACGTCCCTGCAGCGAGGAGGAGACGTTGGCCGTTGGAACGCAGCAACGGGAGCGGAGAAACCTTTCTATTTACCCTCCCGTTTAGTTTGCTTTTGTTTTCCTGAGAAACCTGATTAACCGGATCTCTGTTCTCTTGTCTGCTTTCCCTTCTCTCTCCTTTTCATTTGCTCCATTGTGTTGCCTTTCCCCCTCCCCATCCCCTTCTTCTTTTTATTTCTCTTTCCCACCCGCCCGGTCTGGTTTGGTTTCCATGCCCTCTCGCTTTTGCCTCCCTTCCCTTTGACTGCAAGCGGGCGCATCAGTTACACAGACATGTATGAGATGCTGAGACACATGTCCCCACCTCTAGGCCTTGGAAAGAAATGCCCTGCTCGTGTTGCCTATAAGGTAGACCAACCCCCCCAAGAAACTCTTTGCCAACCCACCAGCTTTTTGTGCCGTGGCTGAAGCGGGTGCTGATTTTCTGTGCCGTTACTGTTGTTCTCTTGGACTTTTCTGGTGTTTTCTCTGCTTTCCAAGCAGACCAGACTTTAGATCTTCTGCTTTTTTCTTTTTTCTTTTTTAATTGTAACCTTTTTTTGGTCTTTGAAACTCTGGCACATCAGTTTGTCTTTCTAAGTATGTCTCTGCTATCTCTATCAGTGTTTCTATCTCTCCTCTCTCATTCTGCTTCCATTTAGGCTAATTTGGGGAGGGAGGGTGCTAATGAGCAAATTACCCCACCAATATGATCCCCATTTATCTTCCTACAGCTCTTTGACTATCCGTTCTCACTAGCCTTTCAGTAGTATGTTGTTTTTTCCCCTTTTAATTAGATAGGAGTAATTAGAGTAGGCAGTACTGTAGGAGTTAGCAAGCTATTAAACAGAGGCAACACCAGAAGGCTCCTTAGATACCCTCATGAAAGAAATTATTTTAACAGAAAACATTTAAGATGAGAAGATGAAGAAATCACTCAAACTTATTGTTTATTCTGAAAAAAAAAAAACTTTTTAACTGAGCCACAAAAATGCATCACAGTCATCGGGCTGTGAGCTGCTGCCTTTCAGACACTGCCTGGATGAACACAGTGGGAAAGCAAATAGATCCGGAGCCAAAAGGATGGAGCAGACCCAGACCCCACCAGTTAAAGCCCCACTGCCCTCCCAGCAGCTTGCGTGGCTGGATTTGATCAGCCTTACGTGGTTAGACTCAATGGTCTTAAAGGTCTTTTCCAACATGAATGATTCTATGGCACTCAGAAATTTGCATTTCCAGGGGCACTTCCTTGGAAGCTTTTAACATCGAGCCTTGCGGTTTTAGGGGGAGAGGCTGGTCATCAGCATCTAATGTTGGTGCAACTGAGCATCCATCAAACTCAACAAGGTGGTTTGAAGTTTTTTTGCTGTTGAGGTCACTTCAGCCACCAACAAGCCTCATTATTGCCCCTCACTGTGCTTGGTGCCATGGATCCAGATCAGAACAGCCTCTCCATTAGTTCTTCTTTTCTCACTGAAAGTAAGATTTTGCAAAGCGACTCAAGCTAAATCCAAGCCTGGACTTGCTTTTGTGTAGGGCACTTAGCAACAGGGTTTGGCTTCAGCTTCCTACAAAGTCCTTCCTCAGTGTGTTAGGGTGTAAAAAGCAAATTAGATATAACCTTAAAACCAGCTAGTTGCATAACTTATTTTTTTTAATTCCTTTTGGTTTGTTTCTGGCCAGTGTGGTCGCTGCTTTGAAAGAGCATCTCTATCACGAGCGATTCCTGCCCACCAAACCGTAACTAAGCTCCCAGGTCTGGGCTATTTCAGATAGATGAGTAGACAGATAAAGAGCTGTACAGAGACACCGATTATACACAGAAACCAAATGTTTTAAAAGTAGTCAATGCTTCCTTCTAACACCTGTGAGCTTCCACTAGTTTAAAATGGGGCCCTGTTGTGCTGAACAGCAGGAGCTCTTTGCAGCTGGGCAGCCAGATCTGCTCTGTGGTCACACGCGTGTACCAGAAGCACAAAGCCCTCCTCTTTTTTTCTTTTTTTTTTGTTAACCAAATCTTGTGCAGTTAAAAAAGGAAGAAAACAAAAGGGAGTAGAAAGATTCTCAGTTGAAACAGGCATTTTGAACAAGCCTTCTGGCTGATTTTCTCTGCGCATCTGTGTGACTGTGCTCAGCGCTGCAGCAGCCTTTCCCCAGGCAGAGGCACTGCAGATGTGCCTTCCCCAGCCTGTCTTTTCCCTGTGACTTAGCTGGTACCTCATTTAGTTGGTCTTTCTTTACAGAACAGGCCCACAGAACTTAGGTACATATGAATAGTTTCTTTTCAAGATACAGACTCTTGATTTTTTTTAAGACGTCTTTAATTTTTACCCCTCTATTAAGAAACCTCTAAAAGGCATCTGTGCATGACTGAACCGCAAGTAGAGATGGGTTCAAGTCAAACAGCTCAAATCTAGACTGACCATCAGATTTCTCTGTGCTTGGAGGGGCTCAGATTCTTTTTGCACATTACCCCAAATGCAGAAATTTGGACTTAGGACCAGATCTGAATTTTTCCCACGGTGTAAGGCTACAGCTTGGACTGACCCCCCACTCCCAACTATGGCTGCTGATAAAACTAAACCCTATGGGGAGGCAGCACTGGCTTTCCTCCCTCTCCTCCTCCTCCGCGTCCACTTGCAGTATGAAAAGCAGCCCGTACGGCCCCGGGGGCAGATGGATGCTGAGCACCTTCCCCCAGGTGACGGCTGCGCGTGGGTCACAGCATCCCCCTTCCCTGCACCCTCCGGGTGCCCCCGCTTGTGTCACTCCTACTGTCCTCCCGCAGTTGATGGGGGACTTGGAGAGGATGGGGGAGCCCACCCAGCCATGCACATCTCCACCCAGGGCTGGACAAGGGGCCCCTCATCCTGCAGCCGCAGCTCAGGCAGTGCCAACAGCAGCCAGGGCTTTGTCCCGGCACTATTTTTGCTCTCTCCCCCTGAACCACATGTTTTCTTTTAAAAAAAAACCCCACCCTTACTGTTCTGTCT